TATAAAAATATTTCAATTAAAGAAATCTCAGGGAGCTCGTGCTGCTGCTAATACTCATCACTCACAATCTTTGGAATAGGAGATAATTTACTTCAGATATGGAAGCAGAAGAAGATACTACTGGAGATTCAAGTAAACATAACTCATCTGCTCACGTATTGTCAGTGAAAATTGTCAGTGAATTGATTATAGAGTAATATAGCATAAATGTGAAGATGCTGGATGTATTTACTTTGTTACATTTTATATAATTAAACAGTAGATTTTATAAGTATTCACACTTAACGTGTACTGAAAATTAAGCCATTTTTTGAAAACAACTTTTTAAACACTTAAACACTCAAGAAACATAACGTTACACTTGGTGACACATCGCACCCAACAAAACAAAACGAGTGATCTTCATACTCTATGAAGCTCCATCCAAGCGAGCCGATCTCCTAAACAACAGATACATAATATCACACCAACCTGCTGAAATTTGTTCACTTGTAAGAAATGCAACAAACTGTGATGCACATTAATAAATTCCAAGTAGTTTGGAAGATGTAAATATTACTTGTACTTCCACCTTCTATGAAGGCATGTAATACCATTGAAAAGTTAAAGGACAAACGTAATGGAAATAGAACTGTTATTACTGTCACACTACCAAAAATTAATAGCTTGATTAATGTCTCTACAGCTTTCTCAAACAGCAGATGTGAGCCACCAATTTTATATGTGACACTTATTTCAGGTTAAAAGGCAAGAAACACCCCAATGTAGCAGACTTTGTATTTCAAAGCTGTTATTGAGCAGCTTAGCATTCACTGTCACAGCAAGCATGTACCAAAAGTGCACTCCTGAAGGAGGGCAAATTTGGGATAAACATGCTCACAGTGCAGTTAGCTTTTATTGTTGGTCCACACTGTCAGAGGAGACAGCATCAGTATCTAGAGGGCAACTGATGAAGACTTAAAAACATAGCAAGAAAGCACAAAGTGCTAGAGATATCGAGACCTTTCAGTAGTCCCACTTATGAGCATTTCCTAATACAAGCTTCACTGTTACACAGAATTAAGTGCTCCAGAGAAAAGCCTTCCTTTCACTGGAAAGGTTATCAGAAAAGAAAAATAGAAAGTACTGTTATCTGGCATATGAAAATTCATACATCACTCTATTTCAACAGCATCAAATTCTCGGTCTCAGAAATAGTAGATCAAACTCTGCTTAGTGTCACCAAGCACAGATAAAGCACTGAACAACAGGTAGAACTTGTCAAAGCCTTCATTACCTTGTTTCAATACATCAGAAAACTTAAATTTCCCAATTATTTAAAAATAACTCTCTTGGAGTAACTCCGTAAAAATAATTCTGTCATGAATTACTAGAATAACTTCTCCAAAAGGCATTCTGTGGGTGGTTCTCCAATGTATTTCTATTAATCACCTACCCATGTGGCTGAAATAAACAGACATACATTAATGTAAAGAAACTGCAAGCGATAAAACATACAAATATAAGTATTTGTAAAAACTGCTCACTTGGTTACGGTGCGTGTGCTCCTGCGTGAGCATTAGAAAACAGAGCAGCATGTCATAGGGCATACATACAAATACTTCTGTTCACATGAACAGAGGTGTATCTACTAGCAGACTTCCGGACACATACAGGCTGCTTTGCTCTTCAAATAAATTGGTATTTGCTACATAACAGGTCTGGGGAAGGAGGGATTCATAGTTCCACCAGCCTCTCTACCTATGTTTGCTGTTGATGCATGAAGAATGTAGAATATTAAAAAAAAAAAAAAAAAAATCATGAAGAAAAAAAACTGTCATACATGACATTTACAGGAAACAAAAGGACTATTATCTTACTAATCAGCTCCAACATGGAAAGCCCTGCTGCCACAGAAGGGTAGGTGACAGCATTTCTGAAGGTATCTGTGACAGAAACAAAAAGTGAGACAAAACTTTTTCTATTTTCTAGGTGTTTTTGTTTTCTTTTCCCAAAATTTTACTACAAATGGAGACTCTAGGCAGCACCACAGTGATTTGGCTTCATTAACTAATGAGCTAATTAACTTCTAAATATGAGTCTGGGGAGAAAAGTTGTACAGATTTATTTAATCACCGTAGTTCTTATTTTACAGTAGATATCAGAAAGGATCCTACTGGAATATACTTTAAAAAGAAAAAAAAAAAAAGAGTAATTCATAGATCAGAGCATAATCAAATCCAGATTTGGCTACTACTAGTAATAATACAGTAGCAGAAATAAAAACCTGGATCATAAAGTTGGCAACTTCTTGAAACTAAGATTATTATGAAAATTATCTACCTCTACAATAGGTATTTTTCAGTGCAATCACCAAGTAACCCAAGTCAAATCATGGATCTGAAAGCTGTTATTAGCTGCTGCTTCTCTTGTGCAGTTGAGATTAAAAAGCATCTAAAATGCCAATCAACTTCATTCCATGAACTGAAACTCCCTAGAACTTGAGATCTTCCCTGTGTCTGATATCAGAAACAGAGCAAATAAACATGAAACATCTAAACTTAGTGAAAACTCAGAATACTGCCTGTGAGAATCTCATACAAAGACAAGATAGAGAACAGCAGACCAGTAGAAAACTGAACATTTTATCAGGCAATTTTCAGCCAGCGCAACTTTCTCAGAACGAGGTACAGATCTGTCTCAGGACACCGGAAAGTATGTGCAGGGTTTTAGCAGCACACATTTTATGACTCATTTCCATGTTAAAAACTCAATGGTTAAGAGGTCATTTTGTTGAGGAAGAAATCTGGCCTAGGTCTTCAGAAAAAGGCCAACAAAGCAACATTGTGGTTTATGTAAGGGTTATGCTAAGCGTACTTTGCAGAGGAATTTAGAAGCAATCAGATATGAAATAGGTCATTTTAAAAACTATGTATACAATGAAAAGCTGACACTGACATGGCCACTGACCTTTGTCCTCCACACACCTAGCTCATCGTCCACATCCAACACAAACACCTTTCTATTCAGTCACGCATGTGAATCCTGTCCAGACTCTCACAGAAAGACGATGGCTCTAGCACAGCCAGACCAGTTTTTATATTTAAGGTTTGTGTTTTGACATTTCTATATGCATTCCAACACAGAGCTACTGCTTACTGCTACAACCTATTCTTTAATTACGATGTGAACTCTGTGCTCAGATAGGACCATATACTCCACCTTCCTCTCTTAATACAAGAGAAAGTGCAAAAATCAGATTGGAAGGTAAGAGAAGTCACCAGCACCCCAGCACACAGGCTTTTTGTTGTCGTTGTTCTAAAGCATTCAACAGATATAGTGCTGGAAAATGCTTCCCTAATAAAATAAGACAGCATTTTAATCTACTCCACGGATTACTCCAAAATGCTTCCTGGACTGTCCAACTTCTGCTCAGCAACAGCAATCAGCCTTGAACTCCAGTGCCTGTGCCCAGCTCTTTTCCATAGGAAATGCTGCACAGGACCCCCTGTTACATCCCCTGCAGTTATATTTTACACATCATTACCTTCTTCCTGTCAATTCACCAAAGCTGCCAAGAACGACAACAATAATTACTAAAATCTGTAGAGTTGATGCATGCACCAAGCCTGTAATTTCTTACAGTGCAAACTCAGTCATGATTGAAAGTTGTAAGTCTTTGACCTTCAGTTCAGTGAAGGCAGACACTCCATTTAGATGACAACAAAATAAAAGCTGGCACATTATTAGTAACCTATATAAACCTTTACTTCAGTGGTTTCCAGACCTTCTTCCCAAGGATTACAATTAGTAATCTTACATACACAATAGAAGATGAATAGAAAAAAAAATTAGATTGCCAGTTGTAGAATTATTTTCACTTTCTCAACTTGTTTCTAAACAAAACATCTTTTTTAACCTGACCAGTGTCAGGGAGGAGTGTTCTGCCCCATTTACTTTTTCTGTAGTAAATCACTTTGACAGATCCATTCGATCAGCACAGAACACACAACTCCATTTCTTCGTAGAGCAGTTTTCTCCCAGTTACGGTTTTTCCTCACATCAGGACTTGCTCTAACAGCAGCTGCACTCAAGGTGCAGCACACAGCACTGCTGATCTGTACCTCATGCACTTCTGCATGCAGAGGCAGTGAAGAGATCCAAAATCAAATCCAAATCCAAAATCATTAGCTTTTTGCTAATGTCCAGAAAGCCCTGAAAAATACTGAAGACAATTTATGAGGGAAGCTTTTCCCAAGAACAGCTGATGGGAACAGAAATTTTTCCTTCTTTTTTTGCAGGTAAAGGACATACACGGTGAACTCTTTTCTTTGTGATGCACCAAGTCCCTTTGCAACACATACTCTTAAAAAACAAAACCAAAAACAAATAAATCTCTCAGAACTGTGTGTCTACTATGGCAGGTGGCTGCCAGCCCCAGAACCCTCCTGAGGGCTCTTCTCCAGAGCACTCCTTTTCCTCTCAACACCCCATTATTCTGCACGGGGATCGATTTCCAGAATGATCCAAAAACCAGAAACCAACCAACCAAAAAAAAAGAAAAACAGGCAACCAAGCCTCGGGAAAACTGCGTGCCTACGGAGCTCAGCCCGCTGCACCTCAGCCCCCAACCAACAAACCTGCGAGCGCTGCGAGGCAACAACAGGTAAGCAGACAGCTGAAAACGAAGGGGCAGGAGGAAAAAGCCTGATCTCTGTTGTTTTTACTAAAAGAAACCCCGCAGAAGTACACTTGAAGCAGGGGTCAGGAATCAGCGCAGCGCGCTGCACTCTCCTCAGCATCGCCTCGCGTCCCTGGAAAGGGCGGGAAACGAAGAGGCGCGAGAAACGCGCAGAGGAACCGCCACAGCACCGCTCCGGCACGCGGCTGCGGCAAGCAGCGCGGACAGCGCGGACAGCGCGGACAGCGCGGACAGCGCGGACACGCACACCCTCGCGCACAGTGCGCACGCGCACCCGCCTCTCTCCGCCCCTGGCCCGCGGCGCTCCGCCCCCTCTCTGCGTACTGCGCAGACGCGCGGCGAAGCCGCGTCGGGGGTGGGGTTGAGATGAGCGTGCTGCTCCCCAACATGGCGGATTTCGACACGATCTATGAGCTGGAGGAGGAGGAGGAAGAAGAAGAAGAAGACGAGGAGGAGGAGGAGTCGTCCGAGCCTGAGCCCGTGGTGCGGAGCCAGGAGCTGCCGCGGCCCCGCGACGCGCCGGATCCCGTGGTGGTGCGGGGCGCCGGGCACATCACCGTGTAAGGAGCGGGGCTGCGGGGCGGGAGCGAGGGTCGGAGCTCCGGGGGCAGCGAGGGGCAGCGCGCCTCCCTGCCGCCGAGGCGGCCCCGCGCCGCCCTTCGACGAGGGGCGGCCGTTCGGGGGGAAGGCGCCGGCCCCCGAGGGCTGCCGCGGCTCGGGGCGATCCCGCCGGTGAGCGAGCGGCCGGCGTTGAGGTCCCGCGGCGGCCCCGCGCGCGCTGCCCGCCTGCAGAGCGGAGCTGCGGTCAGCCGCTGTCCGTCGCGCGGCCTCACCGCCGCGGTCGCTGGCACGGCGGGGCCGGGGAGGCCCGGCGCTGAGCTGCGCTGCCCGGGGCCGCGGGCGGCCGCGCTGTCATTCGCCGACCCCAAACTTTCTCCCGAGTTGTGCTCGGTTTAAGCGTTTTCCTTGTTGCAGTGCATCGCGAGGCGCGGTGTTTGCTGCCCGTTTGACGTAAATGTGGAATGGCCATTTGGCTTTACTTTCTTGTTTTTTTTTATTATCCCCGCTCCAGCAAGTGAGGAATTAGCACAACAGAGTGCACTCGTACCGAATTGTTAGTGGTTACGCTCGTTTATATAACGAGAAGGGTGGTACTGAAACTTTGATATTGCAGAGATCCATCGAGCTTGTGTTGCCTTGGGTCCGTCTGGATTGCATAAAAGATCGCACGTTTCTCTCTGTTGAATAGGTGCAGTGTGATCTAGCTTTCTGCAGCAAAGGCACTGGGTGAGGAAAGCTCTCATCCTAGGAGAACTAATGTTGGAGTTGCTGTGTCCGCCATGTAAGTCTGAAGCAGTTTGCTGAGCTGGTGCCATGGTGCGCTGCACCGCAGTGTGCCTGCTGTCCTGAGCCCACACAGCACATGGCCTGTGTGAAGGAGAGATGTAGCTTATGTGAAATGACCAGAGTAGCATATGCCCGCTTTATTAGCTGTCTGTTTTTAAGTTCAGAACTGGAAAAAAAAAAAAAAACATCACATACTTTGCTTTGTTTGCTCTGAGGCTTTCAGTGTATTAGGAATGTTCATTAAGGTTCCTATGTGGCTTCAGCATCTTTTGGAGATAGGCAGGAACACCTCCAAGAGCTGTCAGCCAGTGATGTCTACATCAAAAGAAAGCAGTAACTGTAAATGGTGTGGGAATAGTGAGCTAGAATACTGCCCATGTAAGTACCTGGCCTGAATTCCTACCTGCCTTATTTTCCTTTTCTTCCACTCCTCCCAACTTCCTTCCTGAATCAACTATGCCTGTCTGATGGTACAAAACAGCTTTTCTTTTATCAGTTCCTGACAGTTCCTCAAAATCTCTCTATACTAATAAAAACAATCAGTGGATGCTATCAGTGAAATGTAAATGGGCTCTGGATGCTACAGTAAACAATCCTAACCTCTTTAATAAATGAGACAATATTTGGCTTCCAATAGATTTTTTATTGGTGTGCATCAGCTCTGAAATTTTTCCACTTTCACACAGATGCTGCATCTTTTGGAATCAGCAGGCTTCAAAAGCAGCCTGCTCTACTTATTGATGTGCCACATGTCATGCCTTAAGACTTGTGTTTGTTTTCTGAATCTGTCTGGAATGTTGCTAATAAAAACTTCTGTCCTGACAGAAGTCAGAAACTCCATTTAAGTAAAGAAAAAAGGAGAAAAAAGAAAAGCATTTATTTTTAAAACAAACCATCTATTACTTTGTTTCACATATTTTCTGTTCCTCACCTGACGATGGCTTGCTTGAATACTTACTCAGAGAAGGATATTTTCTAATTCTAGGGTCATTTTCTGGTCCAGCTTTTCATGTACAGTCCTCTCAAACATTTTCATTTTAGCAGATTGAAAATACATATTAGTTTCTTGCATAAGAGTTGTTATGACCTTGTCAGTGAGTGACTGACCCTAACAGAGTTACCCTGCAGTGTCCAGCCATACTAAAAGTAAATTCCAGGAATCTTTTTAGCAGGATCTTGCTTTTTCTACTGACTGTTTGCTAACCTTTCACCCCTGTGCATGGGAAGAGTGATTGAATAAATTGTATTTGTTTCATTTCTCACTGAAGGATCATTTAGGAAAGCAGGTAGCAGAGTTCATGCTCATCTTGTTCAACACTCACTGTAGAAGATCCTCGTTTTAGGAAAGTTAATGACCCACTTAGTTTTAAGTAAGCTTTAAAATTTTAGTGCAGAGAAATCACTACAACTTGGTGAACACCTTTTTTTTTCCTCTGGAATTCCATGTAAGGGGGTTTTCTGTTTCACTATGTAAGTTAGTGTTACTCTGATGATGTATTGAAGTATCTCATCATAAACATCCTGAATGAAAACTGAGTCAAAGCAACAACAGTAACTTCCAAAAACACGGCAGGAAACCAACCGAGGAGTTTCAGTTTTTCTGATGTACTGAGGCACGTGAGGCAGTGAAGTGGGACACTGAGCCTCTTTTTGCCCTTACCGTTCTGCTTGTGATTCCTGCTCAGGTCTGTGAACTTTCTAGTGTTGGATACAAGCTAACTTTTGTTCTTCCATGATGTTTCCTTTAGGAGTGCCTGAGGGACCTAGGATACAGGTGCTGATGAAAAGCGTATTGTCAGGGAAAGCACAGGTGCTCTCAGTTGTAAAGAAAGAAGATATTTAGTTGTCTTCTATTACTCCCATCTATACATCTTCTGTGTATTTAAAATTGCAAATGACTTCAGCCTACCACTAGTTCTCAATAAGTTCTCCAAAACGTTATCCACGAGGAGGGATGCCCCTTAGTAGTTCATCTTCATAGGCTTCATAGGAAAGGGTCATAGACTAGAAAGAAATTTCAACTCAGGGCTGTTGATGAGTGCTTTCTTTATTCAGTGACATTGAACAGAGCTGAGGTGGTGCCTCTGCAGAGGAAGCGTCTGGTGACCCAAGTTCATATGTTCCAGATAGGTTAAACTTACACTGGATTAGGTGTGGGGAAATGAGCCATGCAAAAAGGAAACTGGAGAACCTGTCACGAGAGAGCTGGCTAGCTTGCATGGCCTTGTAAGACTGATGACTACCTATAAATACAGTACTGGGTTAAGCAAGAATGAAAGACTATTGAAGTCAAAAGGAAAAAGTTCAAGAATCTGTAAATATGTCTGTTCTAGATGTAAGTGCTTTCCAAAATATTTCTGTTCCAGTTATGGGGACAGGAGAACTCATTTCTGATAATGCTTTGTAAAGAAATCTATAATGTGGTCCTACTGCAGCTAGGATCTACAGATGATGATTCAGAACTTTCAGGCTTTAATGTATAAGCTTTTATTTACTACATCTGCCTCTGGGAAATTGCATTCCCTCCACTTTACAAATGGGGAAAATGAGATGATGGGGCTTCTGCCCCAAGGAACGAGAGAGAACAGAAACTGAGGTAATCCTTGTTCTGTTCCAGTGTTGGTGTCCATTAGGCAATGCATCCTTGCTTTTACAGGTATGTCATTCAGAAAGACAATTCCAGCTAAAGTGTGTGAGTGACTTCATGTGAATTTCTAAATGTTAGACCTTGCACACTTTACACTGAGAGTGCTCAGAAATAAGTGACCACCAATTGATGTTTGAAGTAATTGAACGGACTGATACTGCAGTTTATTTTGCACAGCTATTTTTAAAGCATACTGGGTTTTACAGGATAGTGGAGGCAAAATCATGTGAGATCAATTATTGCTATGAATTAATTTATTTTGGAAGGACTAGACTATTTCTTAGTTAAAAGTTCAGGTCTTAACTTTTTTTACATGAAGTTTTTAATAAAGCTTCAACGCTTTTTTGAAAGTGCTTACACAGCTGTAGAATTCTGTGGCATTCTGCTTTAACCAGAACTTTAACCAGAATTATTACCAGAAACAACTATTTGTTGTTTCTTGAGTGTAACCCATCTAGTAAGGTTTTAATCTTTCTGAACTCCATGGTGTCGCTCCATGGTGACTCAGTGGGAGGACAGCAACCCCTGGAGATGTCTCTGTGAAACTGCTGAAGGCCACAGTGCTGCTGGCTGCACGCAGTGTTACAGCATGGCACGGTTCTGTTTGCAGCATAGCCGAAGCCTCTGGAACTCCTTCAGCCATTTGTGGGCATCAGTGTAAAACAGATGCATTTCTGTAACTGAGGCTTCCTGGTCACATTAAATCTGAGTGGACTGTTACAGCAACTAATACAAGTTCTGGTTTTCTAAATATGTTTCAACGACATTGTCAGCCTTCAGATTTAATTCAATAACTTACACTGTGTTCTTGTCATGTTCTTAACAGTTCTAAACCAAAAAGCACTCATTAGTTTTATTTTCTTGGGAAATCAGGAGTACAATGGGAATTGTAACGAGTAGATGTGAGCAGTGAGATAAAAGATGCTGCCTGTGGCTCAGGAAGTTTTTGAACTACAAACTGTTGAAGGTCTGATGAGAATTCTGGGGTAATAGTATGTAAAGTTTGCAGACTTTTTCCTTCTGCCATTCTCTGGGCATTTGCTGCTGGCGCTGTGAGAATCAGTGTTGTGATCTGGATGGGTCTTTGGCACCATTAGAGCAGTTCTAGTCTGTGATGTGGATAAATAATTCCATAGCATCACAGAATATCTCACGTTGGAAGGGACCCGTAAGGATCATTGAGTGCAACCCCTGGCTGCACACAGGACCACACAGTCTGAGAGCATTATCCAGATGCTTCTTGAACTTCAGCAGCTCAGGGCCGTGCCCACTGCCCTCGGGATGTTCTGTGCCCACCACCCTGTGGTGCAGACCCATTCCCTGACCCCTGCCTTTCCCCTGACACAGCTCCACGCCGTTCCCTTGGGCCCCACTGCTGTCACAGAGAGCAGGGCTCAGCGCTGCCCTCCGCTCCCTGTGAGAGCTGCAGCTGCCATAAGGGCTCTGCTCAGATCCCCTGGGCCCAGCAGACCCAGGGACCTCAGCTGCTCATCACACACTGTCCCCCCCAGTCCCTTCCCCATCTCTACAGCCCTGCTTTCCAGTAGCTCGTTTATGATAAGTTAATTACATTGCTTGGTTGCTAAAGGTTTGTGATTGTTTCATGTAGTTTTTCAATAAAAGAGTCAGTGTTCCTCAAAACAGGCTCACCTGGGTTTTGTAAGGCTGTTAGTCTTTTCTGGTTTTTTGTTTGTTAGTTTTTAAGACTGAAAAGACCAACTTGGAAAATTTCATCATAAAAAAGAGAAGTTACAGAATGTGGAGACTGGCCTGCAGGTTACATTGTCAGAAAATGAAAATGTGTTTATATCAGCTACCTCTTCGTTTGCTTAAAATCATATTGTGTTTACTTTGTGTATATATAGCAGTGATTTATCATCATGGCTTTCCAGTTGACTCAGATATGCTGTAGCCAATGCTGTGCTGCTGTCCAGTTCACTCACATTCACTTGTAGAGGATTTCCAATGAAAATCTGTTGAAGGAAACACAAACAAGTGGCAATTGGTCCTAGTGCTTAGGATAGCTGAAGAGACAAAGGTTGAGAGACAGCTCGGTGAAGGTCTAATCTTTGGTGGTTTTGTAATATTTACACAAATAGTGTGCTAACATGCTGGTTTTTACAGGTGCCAAGGCTCTGACTTAAGTTAGCAACCGAAGAACTTGACGCCAGCATTGCTGACAGACATCTTGATTAGCTGACTGGATTTCTGAGAGCAGCGCAGATTTTAATGCTCCTCTCATCCTTCAAGTTTATTTTTCACTTGTCTGTACTGCTAAGCAAGTGCCAACGCTGGGTTTGGGAAGCTGAGTTATCTGTGGGTGCACGTGGGCTGCGTGCTGTGCAGTGGAGGACACTTACTCTTGGGCAGTGTCTGTTCGTTTGGGTGGCCAGCGAAGAACGTTTCGGTGTTGGTTCAGAGGAATGCTCTCTGCCCAGAAGGGTTTGTTTCTAGGGTAAATATTACAATACCAAATACACGTGCTCATCTTTCTGGCTGTGATTCTTTTGTTTTCTGTATGTTTCAACACAAATATTCAGGAAATGGTTTATCAGGGCTGGCAGAACTTGGTGTGCAGTGTATTTAACTTTACAAGCTTTACAGGAAGCCTTCTTTGAATAGACACTGGAGCTGAGGGACCAGTTGCTGTTGTTTTATTACTGAATTCCAAAGGTTAGAAGTCAGATGAGATGGAGAGGACAGAAGATCATAACATTTTATTTCACAGAAATTCGTGGGCTTAACATTAAGGTTTTGTTAATTTCTTGCCTACATGTATGCTTTAAATACAACAAAGTCAGCTGTGCTTTCAGCATCCTACTGGCCTACACAAGTAGCTCCTTGACATGGGCAGTTGGTTCAGTAGATTTGGAGCTCGGAGCAACATGGGTTTTCAAGCAGAGCATCTAAATTCCAGGAAACACGTTGCTGCCTGTAGGCTCTGCTGGTTGTGCTGAAGATTTGCTGCTGGCAAAGTAAAAAGGCTTCACTGACAGGAGCCACCAGGCACCGTGTTAGCTAAGACAGTTTTCAAGCTGTGGTTGCTTGAAAGCACTCCATATGTGGGCCCTTACATGTTTGCATGAGGTAGTTTAACTCAGATCAAAGCAGTTTTTAAGAATTGTATGGTTATAAATTTTCCAAAGCAATGAATGGTTTCCTTATAAGTAGCTTTATTTGTTGCATGTGAATAAAGTGCATGAGTAAGAAAAACAGCAATGGAAAGATTAGCTAATACTTGCAGGCTCTTGTTTTTTTCTTTAAGAAAGAAAAAATTGAAATTACTGCTATCCAATTGTAAAATATTTTTTTTTGCTTTTAGTGGCTTGAAGGTATCGAAGTAAAGCAACAAGCTATATTTCTCTTTTTGTCTTATGAATAATACAGAAGAGCTTATATAAAAATGGTTTGAAAGCTTATAAAACAATGTACATGTAAAGGCAAAAGAAATAGTTTTCCTTTTTTATAAAAAAAGCATCTATTGCATTTTTTATTAAGGGAAACAAAATAAGTTAGGTGGAATATATTTTGTTTGTCTCTTTTGTTTTCAAGGTTTGGCTTGAGCAACAAGTTTGATACAGAATTTCCCTCTGTTCTGACAGGGAAGGTAAGTGTGAGATTAAACTGTTCTTTTAAATGGAAAGCTCCAGTGCCTCCAGTGGTTTTTGTGTTACAAATATATGCCTATGAATCCAACACAACTGGTTGCAGGCCAGCACTGCGCTGAAGGCTGCTAAATTAACTCTGTCCTTCATGAAGTAGCTGGTCAAAGACCAGTCCCTACAGCAAAGATAGTTTGCAATGACTGTAGTCTTTATTGTCATTCTAAGCACACCATGATACTGTTCTCACGTAGGCAATCTGTGTAAAAGCAAGACTTGCACTCCCTTGCTTCAGAGGTGCCTGCAGTTTGTGCTACATCCTGTGCAAATTAAACTATTTCAGGCACTAGACCTCATTTTTCAATATGTCTGTCAAGCGTTGAGTTTATTTTTAGGCAGATCTCTAGAAGAGAATTTATTTATCTGCAGCTTAAAGGAATTAAACATGGTCTCAAGTCTGCGAGTGAAGTAGGTTTTCTTAGAACTTCTCCTGAAATTCAGTAATTGTGTCATTCTGAAAATTTGTTGGGAAAGTCTCATCGTTTCTCTGAGTCTTGTTGTGTTGCTAAATGCAATTTAATAAGTATTCGTTTATATTTATTTATTATTGAAAACTTGTAGCAAAGTTCTTGACTTTTAAATTCTTTTCATAATTCTGGTTTGGTTTGGTTTGTTTGTTTTGTTGTGTCTTAGGCTTTTTTCCCCAATTCTTTTCATTCAGCTGTTTTAGTACTCAGTGCTTTTCTCGTCCTTCATTTTGTCATCCCCTTGCGTATCTCTTCCAGAGTTTGTGAGACAAAGGTACTTGGCTCTTGCTGCTTTCTCTAAGGACATCCCACCTGGCTGCAGCCTCCCAGTCTCCCCAGCCTCCTGCAGTCCTGTTTTTGCCATGTGCCGAATGCAGCTGAGGCCTGTGGAGGTTCCTCCCTCTGGAGGCATCCTGGTTCTGCCAAACCCATCTGGGATTTTCTCCTCCGAGCATAACGAACAAAGTGCTTGTGGTGAATCTGTCCAGCATTTTTGACAGCAGTCCACTTGTTGGCTGGTCAAGCTGCTAATTTGGTTGTTAAAAGACAACCTGTAAAGTCTGGCCTTGTTTCAGGATCTCACTGGCAAAAAAGGAAGGCTCATTGACTTAGCAGTGCCTGATGCGCAGGCTGGCAGTAACACAACTTGCATCTCACTGCTTTGCATGTCTGAAGTTTATTTTCTGTAAAGCTCTTTCAGATCACTAAAAGCCATGGAATGCTTTTCTGTTCTTTTAATTAAGTGGTCGTTTTCTGTAAGAAAATATATTTAAAAAAAAAAAAAACACTACCCCACCCCAAAACATATTCATTTTAATACGAACCTTAATGCCTGTCACATTTCCCACTTGCTTGACTTCCTGTTAAATAAAGAGTGAGAAATTGATGTTATTACAGGATCTGAGTTTACAGGAGCAAAAGTTTAATTTAAACTTTGGTTTACTGCTTGGATTTAATTTAGCAAAGAGTGAAAAGAAAGAATGTTCTTTTACCTGACACGTGAGTGTCGACTTGGTGCCTACAGGAGCACTGCTTATGTTGGGAATTTTGAAAATCCAGTTACTTTTTTTTTTCCATGTGTGGATTGATGGGTTTTGAGGAAAATGACTTTGAAAATAAATCCGACTTTCACCAATCAGATGAGATAGTAAACAAATCCTTCTTAATGCTTGCCACACATGCTTGTGAAAGGTGGTAAAAGCCACAGCTGTGGCTTGTTGAGTTTTTAATGCTTTCATAAAGTGCCAGAAATGAATAATCTGCTGCTTCCTCTGGTTGTGGCAGTCCATCACCTTTACCGCTGCTGAAAATGAAAACTCAGATTTTTCTAGTAAGTGTTCTTCAAATACCCTGATTAATAATTCTCATCAGGCTTTGTGGTCTGCTGATGTACCACATGAAGATCTTTCTTCTTCTTCTTTCCTTTTTATGAAATCCATTTAGGAATAGTGTGGTGGCTGTTTATATTCACCGTTTTCTATAAAAAATGTTTACTGTAAGACTGCATTAAAGCCATCACTGGATGGTTGTCATACTTGGAGAGTGTCCATGTAATATTAAGCTTAATGACTTTGTTGACCACTGTGAATTGATGCTAATAATATAATTCCTTTGCTAGTGGAATCTAAAAGATGAAACCGTTACATGGGGTTGATAGACTTCTCCATTATGCTGTTTTTCTTCTAAGAAATTCAGGATGAGGATTTAGGCTTTTAAACGAAGGATGAAATCACTAACTTTTTAGATTAATGCTCTGGGTAGTCCTTGGGAATTTATAAAGTTTCCTGACCCTCAGCTTGGTTTTCATCTGCATAATGGCTATAGTGAACCTTGCACTAATTTTATTCTTTATTATCTTTTTTAATATGAAATATCCTTCTTTATCCATCTTCTCTTCTTCTTCCTCCTCATTTCTGCAGATTCTCAAGAAGTTGTAAATTAGCTTAGAGCTAAGATGCATGTGAGAACATCTTAAACATTTAACTAGTTGCAAATGTTTGAGGATATAGCATAGGCAATAAAACAATATGGAAAATATCAGGTCAGATATTGGCTCTAGTTAATTCCATTCGATTGACTTGCCCTTTATCTTGCAGGATAAGAAGCAACTATCAGCTGGTGTATAAATACAGAGCTTAGCTTTCGGGAGTGTTTGCAACAAAACTGTAAGAAAAGATTTGATTTACAAAATAAAGGGGCAGTAATTAGCTTGTAGTAATTGGTTTTAATTTAAATTCTGGCTAAATTCAAATTCTGCATGCTATGGTTTTATAGGATTGTTCTTTTAAAACAGACATTTAAAATGGGCTTTAAGGCAGCTCTGTTGGTAGCTATTCTGAAATGAAGTAGAACTTCTGGTGCTAAAAGTTTAAGTGATTCCTTTGCTGCAAAGAATTTTAAACCTGGCTTATAAAAACAGTACTTCCATGAGGAATTGTTCAATAGCAAGCAGTGCTCCAGGTGACAAGATAGTGATGGGGCCAGTGGGCCTTAAGGAAAAAAAGTGGAGTTTCCTGCCCTGGACCTCAAACAATCAGGATCTCATACAGAGATTACTGTGCAGTGCAGGGAAATGTAAGCCATAAAATGGGCTGTTGCTATTGTGATCCCATTGCAGTGTGTGATTGATAGGGTTTGTGATCATGATTGAAGGAGAAAGATCGGGCCTGCTGGGCTCTTGCTCTCTTCCTGTGTTTGCAGATTCTCTTACATCCTGTTGTAAAATATTATAACACTCCCTCCTTCCCTTTTATGTCCCTTTTTCCCCCCTTGGAGATCTAAAAGGAGCCAGTATCTCTTTACAAGGTGCACTGCACAGCCAGGAGCTATGTGTTTATCTCATTCTTTTTGAGACTCAGAAATTCTACAAGCAACATTCCAAAACTGCTCAAAACTGTTAGTGAGCTTTCTTTGCTCAGGAGGTGCTCTGAATTGTTCTAAATACTTAGGCATTTTCTATTAACTTTTCAGTATCTTTATCTGCATAAAAGACAGAATTTAAAATTATGTCCAAAAATCAGCAGCATTCTTTTGTAACTGTTTTTTTCTAAAATCATTTTCTTACTAAATAAGAGCAATGTCATTTTATTTGTCATTCTTTGTCACTGTAGCAAGACTGAGCTGTAAACCAAAAGGAACAAACTGGTTTTGCTTCTTTTTATCACACAATGAGGCTTATCTTGGTCCCTGATTAGTTTAGCTTCAAATGAAGATGCCACTGACTGACAGAAGTATTTTTTGTGATGAGGTGTCTGCAATGGAGAAATGCATCCAGCACTTTGAGTTGGCTGAAGAAGTCTTCAGTAGTTTCATCTTGTGCTGCAGTGAAGAGATACACCTTTATAGAAGTAGTTGGTGTGTTAGCAGCTAGTAGCTGTGCTAATCTGAAAATAGCCCAGGTAGAAATCTGTGTTTCTTGGCACCCAGATTACCATGTGCAGTGCTGTGCTCATGACATCATATATGTTCTTCTAATGCAGCATCGTGCTGTTTGACGATGGGACCAGTGGTCGAAGAATCTAGTTGACTTCTTTTGTGTTGGAAGATATCAATTACGGTTATAAAGTTTGTTCATGATATACAGAGAACTCTAGGCTGCAGATGCAGTGTCTACAGTAGTGCACAGCTGTGTCTGGGGGTGAGATGTGCTGTTGTCAAGGTCCAGTGAACTTTGTGAGTGATACAAAAGGAACCATTCTCTTTCCTTAGTGGACTTCGTATCACGAGTACTAATGGAGTCAAGAAAAAATAGATTATTACCTTTCAAATAAATAGATAGGCTGATACATGTATGAATTTCAGAAGACTTACTGAAGATGGTCCCGTTTTTGTACATATGAATGCTAAGAACATATTTGATGTGAACTTCCTTGAGCATTGTGAGCTGTGGTTTGTTCGTGCATGTGAGTTCGATTCGCTCTGAATCACGTCTGATTGCAGAAGCTGAACTCCTGTACTCCTGTTACACAATCAGTCCTGTCACTCTTCACTACCAATCTTGCTCCCGTAGTGGACATGAAGTGGTCTTACTCACATGCATCAAATATTTGGGGTTTCCTTAATATAAGAGCTGCCACTGGCAGAGATTTGCAAAGCCGTCCGGTTTGAATGCTTGAGAGCACAGGCTAATTTTCCACATCACAATGTAATTTTTTTCTCTTCTTCATTAAAAACATCCCAATGCTGTTTCTTTTTTATTTTTTTTTATTCTTTTTTTAACTGGGATATTTATTGTAAAACATACTTAAATGTAGATGTGCCATTTAGTCGAAAAAAAAAAAAAGCTTTTGGACTTGCTTCATTTGTACGTGTAGAAAGAAGTACAAGATTGACTTTTCTGTACTGAGGAAACAAAGGTAGTCTGTATAATTGCAGAATAAGTGGTTGCTGTGTAGCTATTCATTCCTGCTATAAAATGCTCACACTGTTAACTGATGTTCACTGCAGGTCTGGCTAGCATACAGACCCAGATGACCTCTGACTGTACTGTGTGGTGATCTGAATGGCCAGGAAACAGATGCTCTGTGTGTTTACTCCCTTTCCTGCAGTGCTTTAATCTAGTTAGCTCTTGTGATAGGCGGAGGTGGCAGAACCAGGTTGATGCTGCTTCCTGGCTGCTGGGTTCACCTCTTCAGAGCAAGGAGGCACTGCCAATTAACACCTTTGTTCCCTCTTTGTTTGTGGAATCAAATGAACAGTCAGGCTTGATGGTTGGAAGGCTTATGTAGGAGTTCAATTACTTGGTATCCAGACCAGCTCTAGGCAGGGGCTTCTTCAACATGGCAAGTAGGAAGGAAAGGTTTTTTATTATTATTATGTTAAAGTTGTTATCCCTGGCTGTTCAGGTCTGTTGAAGTTGGATCTCACTGTTCTGCTTTGTGTGTCCAACCCTGGGCTTTGTTACGGTTAAGAGTGCCATCCTGGAGTCAAGTTAGCTGTAAGACAGTGCATGGATCCCCACTCGTTATTTAGGTACTGTAGGGAGATGGTGGGTTTGGAGCTTGTGAGTAGGCAATAATACTTTAAGAAGTAGTGGGCTGAAATGTGAAATGTGTTTCAGCAGGTAGGCTTTACTAAAAATCAAGTACAAGGTGCATTTCTTAACCTTGGATGTAATCCAGTTGCTGCCTTTCTGGGCTTCCCAGCTTTGGAAGAAGCCACAGGTAAAGTTGCAGCCCCATGACTGTGTGGGCTGTGTCAGGAATTGGTCTGTGGACAGCAGCCCACCCTCACCCAGGCACAGTGTAGACTTGGTATGAAAGTAAACTGGACATATCATCCTTCTTTAATGTGACACACAATAGTGTTTTTACTAGGAAGTAACAACCTATTACTCCTTATTCACTTGGAAACAAGATAGCCATCATTCTTTTTTTAATTTCATTTTATTCCTTCTTTTTCTTTTTTTTTTTTTTTTTTCCTTCTTTTATTCCTTTTTTTGTGGTCAGTGTAGCCAGGATGTTGCACTGCTGCGTTCCACTTCTTAGCCTTGTTAGGGACCACTGTGTTATCAAGCCTATTGCTCTATGGTATAATAAATATGGATGAGGCTGTTCATCTAAGCTGCACTGGGCTTTTTAACGCAAATTTTTGCAAAGCTCACACCATAAATGAATTTGTTACAGGAAAATTACTTTTCATGCTCCCTGTGTGACCGGTGTTTTGGAACATGGGGTCATGTTGCATAATGAAATATGTTGCATTTACATTTTAATCTATAAAGGCAATTCTTGAGAAAATACGTCTGTAATGGCATTCCACTGAAGTTCAGCACTTCTGTTACAGGTTGCCCCAGAAGAATTCAAGACCAGCATCAGTCGTGTGAATACCTGTTTAAGAAAGAATCTTCCTGTCAATGTAAAATGGCTGATTTGTGGCTGTCTGTGCTGCTGCTGCACACTGGGCTGTAGCCTGTGGCCTGTAGTGTGTCTTAACAAAAGAGTAAGTACAGTTTTTGTTTGTCTTATTTTCTTGATTTTGCAATTTCTGGTAGCATTAAGTAATGTTGAATAGCATCATCTCCATTCCAAAGCCCTTTTCTTTATCTCACATTCAAAAGCTAATTCAATTTTCCACTCTTTGGAGAATAGAGGAAAACATTTCTTAATGAGGCAAATGATACCAAATTGCCAATTGAATTGATAGTCAAGGGTGTAGCTAATCTTATCTCAGTTCAAAGAAGAAAGTGTTATACAGGAGAACCTACATTTCCAGGATATTTAACGGTGTAAAAACTGAATTAGTGAGCGCAGACTGAGATGCTGATCCTCAAAAGTTGCCTGAACTAGAGTATTTTTCTTCCCTCCTCTCACACAATTTTTTGCAAGCAGACAATTTGTATTATTATTATCTCTAATAGATACCATAATGTTTCTGAACTGTTATTTATTTGGCATGCTTTACTGTGTTACTTCTATGAAGAGCAGTCAGAAGAATACACTTGATACGTAGAGATGGAATATTTGCAGTTTTAAAAACATATTTAATATCCCTGTGCTATTTTCTCAAATGTATAAAGTGCGTACGTGAATGTGTGCGTGTGATTTGGTCACTCTGAGAACCAAAAGTATACGGTTGTTCTTGGTCTCTTGTGGAGGACTGAGCCAGCTGTGTGAGCACACAGCAGCCCTTTGCTCGCTTAGTCTCCAACAGGACTGGACAGAATTTGAAGAGCAAAAGCAAGAAAAACCTCAGGTCACAATAAAAGTTAATAAATGAACGGAAAAAAAAGAGGAGAAAAACCCAAGAGGTGCAAAGACAAATCACTCCCTACCTCCCATCAACTGGGCCATGACAGCCCCAGTTTTGTTGTGAGCATGGTGTCATGTAGCCCTCTGGTCAAACTGGGGCAGCTCTCCCAACCTCTTGCCCATACCTGTGGGAGGTAAAGTTAGAAACAGAGATCCATGATGCTGTGCAAGCACTGTTCAGCCAGAGCTGCAACACTGGTATGCTACCAACACTGAGTCATTAGGTCTAGAGTGCAGCACTCTGCAGGCTGCAGTGACGAATTTAACTCTGTCCTAGCCAGTCCATGTATGTTCACTTAGGAAAAAAAAAAGAAAAAAAAAAGATAAGATCCAGAAGCTGGAATCTGAAATTTAAACAGTGCAAGAAACAACGTGGACTTCTTAATTCTGAGGATAGCTTCATCACTGGAATAATTTGCAAAGAGTTAGTGGATTCTCCATCATTAAGTGTTTGACTCAGGATTCCATATCTTTGCTTTTTTTTTTCTTTAATGAGGTAATGTAGCTCATCAACCATTATTAAGTTTGTGAACAAAATACCTGCGTGGAACATCGCGCAGGAAGTGGAGTAGGTTGTCACAGTGCTCCTTCTGGGACCACAGGGGAAAAATAGTTGAAACTTCAAAAATACTTCCTTCTCCCACAGTCAGTAAAATTCTTACTTCCTGAAGTGGGTTGCTTTCTTCAAAATAAGATCCCTTTATAGGTGTAAGGACGCAGATGTATCTCCTATCCAGGGTTTCACCTCCATTATTTAATGGTTGCCATGATCTTATGGAGTATTCTAAGTATTGTGGAAGCTCTTTGTAGCTGTAAACCATTGTAAACCATTTATTATATCAGAATGAAGACTGTAACTGAATCATATTTTAAGGGCCCTTGTAGAAAAAGTAGAATGTGTCCAGTTCTGAGCGTTGTGGTTTCTTGTTTGTTTGTTTGTTTTCTGATGCTGAGGAACAGAAGTCCTATCACTTCAACTTCCATTTACAATTGTTCAATTGCTTGGTTGTACTTCTATAAAACTGATTTATTTAAGTGATTCTTAGTCCAGGAATGCAATAATGAGGTTCTTCTGGATGAAGCTGGCTACTGAACCATTCATAATACAGTTTTGACTTAATTTTTTTAGACTAGAAGATCAATTCAGAAGTTATTAGAATGGGAAAATAACAGACTATATCATAAGGTAAGAAAAGTTGGAGTGCTTGTTTTCTTCACTTTTATGTTTTTTTGCATAATTGGCATGTAGGAATTTTACTGTCTCGTTATAATTCTGTACTTTGTAGAAGTTAAATTTCACTGTCTGAAGTGTTGCAGATCCAAGTGGTTTGATTGCTTATGCTTGTTACATTAGTTATCAAAATAATGTAGTAGTATGTGTTAATCCCCTGATAATTACTTTCTTAGCTTGGTTTGCACTGGAAGCTGAGTAAAAGGAAATGCGAAACTAGCAATATGATGGAATATGTAAGTATTACTCCTGTTATTTGTTTGGTATTCCACACCCTTTATTTTATAGTGAAATCTGTTAACTTACCAGACTTTAACCAATCTGAATAAGCTCTCGTAAAAAACAGCAGTTGTTTGATATACACCTGTGAAGGCCAGTTTTAAAGAGTGGCTATGTATATATTAACATTGAGAAATTGTCACTGCTGAACTTGTTTTCCATTCATAACAATTCTGTGTTTGCACTACAGGTACGCTTTGATCAGTGACTGATAGCAAGGAAGGCCCACTGGGTTTCCGTGCCCTAGTGTGATTCTCCCAGCAGCCCATAGTTCTTTAGCTCTTGTCCTTTTGCTATTTATAGTTATTTTTGGGTCAGCATTTTGGTACAGAAATATTGCATTTTTTTATAGTAGTGTTTTGTTTGCTTTTTTTTTTTTTTTTAATGAGACCATGGATTTTTATTTATTTATTTTAATCCTGGCTCCTGATCTCATAAAAGATTTAACCAAGGTAGTCCTTTAGGAAAGTGGAATTTCAAACATTCCTGTTATCCTACTATTCTCTCATCCACTTTCATGTATAACAATGAAGACTGCTTAGGCTCAAAGAGAGAATCACCCCCAAAATGTCAAGTGTTGATAAGTTGTGTATTTCAAAATAACCTGAATCTTCTTTGTTCTCTGAATAAAGTTTCCCTATAAAATAATCTTGGACAAGTTTAATCCTACAAACAGCTAGTGTTGCATGGAAAGTTATGCTGAAGATTTGAAGTTGTTGATTACTGTGTTCTGTTCTTGTCTTTTCCCTTCTTCAACAGGTAATATTAATAGAGTTCTTACCAAAATATCCCATATTTCGACCTGACTGAGGAACTGCATTTGGTCTTTCATGTTACCTGTCATTTTCTACCCTTAGTGCCTTGTAGATGATTTTGGAAAGAAGATGGTCTACTTTGCTGTGATTTAAAAGATGTTCTTCAGTAGAGTATCTTCCTTGCGATGTTATTTTTTGTTTGACAACAATTTGCACATTTTTTTAAATGTTAAATGAGGCTTCTGTGTTGCACTCTGAATTTTTAACATTAACAAAAACTGATATCGTTGCCACTAGGAATCTGACATCAGTGCTGCTTAAACTCGTTCTGAGCATGCTGCCTTATTAATTTCTACATTTAGCATATATCCTCAAACATGCACCCTGATGCTGTGTCATACTGTATTTCATTCTAAACGTTGCATTCCTATAAGTCCTCAGTAGAAATGTCCAGGTAAGCGTCTAGTAGTAAAGATTTTAGTGTCACTTGCTTGCATAGGACTTGCAATTAACAGCACTGGTTTTGTCCTGCACTTTGCAAAATCATCATTTACATTAGGGGGTTAATTCTTTTACCCACTATAGATTTGTAAATATTGACTCTTTGCATAATGTAAAGTGTGGTATGCCAAGGTTTACAGAATGTAAGATAGCTCTTGTTCTATTACCAACAGTTTGACATAGTTTTATTCATTACATTTGTTACCATCCCTCTGATTGTATGGACGCATTCACGTACTGTTTTTATGGTAAAGCCATAATGAGTTTGTACATACTGTCAGATGTGTAGGGCTCAGTTGCACTTTTGTTTAGTAAATGGATGAAAAATGTGTAGCATTTTGTTTGTTTGTTTGTCTTTTAACTACTTCAGGTGTTATTTGTGGCACCTGAAATGGGAACCTTATATACTGCTCATCTTTTGAAAAAACTACATTTATGGGGAAATGGCAGCTGCTATTAGCAAAACATCCCAAAGCCCACTTTTTACGTTTAGAATATCTGGAAGTCAGTTTCTGTGGGTCGTTCTGTTTTGTTTTCAGAGTAGGAAAAAGAGAGTCGTTACTAAGGAGAAGAATTGGCAACAGCCAAATGAAAGTTGAAGTAACTGAATATTTTTATAGCACAAAAGTACTTCAGCATTTTAACAGTTAAATGATATGGCAGCCCTTTCTAGCAGAAATAAATTTTGCTTAAATCAGAGCAGTATTTCGGAATGTGCTGATGGGAGGAATAGATCAGCTGAATGGGCTCACATGTATATTTTGGCATTCAGGAACAGTCTGAAGAGCCACAAATACCTTGTGGAATTCAGAAGCATATTTGGACTCCTCCCCGTTTGCCTGATGTCAGGAAGGGAAGTGACTATAGAAAAACTTACTGTAATGGCTGGCTTAAGCAAGACCATTTGTTCATAGCAAATGAAAGAAAGAAGCAAATGACAATGCATTGTTTGCCCCTTCCCCCCTCCTCCCCCCCCTTCCTAACTAGAAATAAGAGGAAAAAAATACCAGATAACTGATTATCTGTAAGTTGTGATGAATATAATCATAAATGTCTGCAGGCATTTCTTTTCAGCAGCTTAACTCCTTGCAGCATCACAGGTTGCTTTCTAGTTTCAGACTGACTTAGAACTTCCTCTGAATGTATTTGCATCTCTTCAGTGTGCAATATTGTGTTAAAATACAGTATTAGTAAAGTCATTACATTCTAGTAGCTGTAACAGGCCAGATACCCAGTACCCAGTGTTTACAGAAGGCCAGTTTTATGTAAGTTGTTACTTGGAATCAAATTTCTTGCTCTTCTAATTGTACAGCTGAGTGTCCCATTCCAGTGCTTCCTGACCTCAGGCTGATGCTTCAGGCTCTGAAATCTGTATGGTTAGTGCAGAGATTTTGTTGGACCAGTAGATTGGTAATGAATAACTGATCAATTGAATTTGTAATTTAATTTAATGAATGAACTGCAGTGTTGTGTGAGTTTAACTTGAGCTATACCTTGCAATTCAGATTTCTGTCATAGAACCATGCGAAGTATTCTCTCCATTTTATTTTATTTTATTTTTTAGGATGAGTGTTAACTGGAAGCAGAGAAAATACTTAATGGCAGAAAGAAACAGTGAAAAGCAAAATTGACATAGCACAGACAATCTCCCTTAGAAATAAGCGCATGTGATATAAGTGAAGGGAGCTTAGCAGGAGAGAACAATAGAAGTTTATTACAGTTGTGCCAGAACTTTGTTAGCTATTCTCTCTGTAAGAAACTCAAGAAATCTCAGCAGATTCTTAATTTTTGCTTTTATGTGACCATATTTTCAAAGTGTTTTTTTTTCTAACCAAGAGAAGAAAGAGGCAAGCGAGAGTTTCAGTAACTGCCAGTGCTGAGTGCTGAGCAGCCCTCCTCTCACTGTGAGCAGCAGTCCTGTGCTGAGTCTGTGCTGATACCATGGGTGGAGTTGAGAGTTTTTTGACTGATGTGTCTTGTTTCAGCGAAATGCTGTGCCAAGCACAGGGAGCACCCTGAGTTTCCCACTGAAGCACAGAGTATTTATTTTCAAAGTTTACATTTCAAGTACATAAATTCTACACGCTTTTACTTTGTCCTAAATTATTAATTGTATTCAAACCATGAAATGGTTTTTTCCTCTTATGTTTTAATAGGCACTTAAAAACATGGCCATAAAGCAACTAATGGAGTATGAGAGCTGAAACAGAAGTTTACAGCAAGCTCCATGTTTTAATAGGAAGGTAAATTTGCATTAAAATACAAAAAAAGCATGCAGTATTACATTTGCATCTGAAAGACAGGTTTAATAGCTCATTTAAACATGAAAGCAACTGTAAATGCTGCTGTGAACTTGTCTGTCTACAGGTTCTCTTTTGCCTAGGCTATTCTTTGCTTTAATATAAAAACATCCGACAGATAGTTTATATCTCATAAGATGGAGAACTCATTTTCGACAGTAAAAAATGAGCACGAAATGGTAAGCCTGTTTATAGAGGATACTTGTTAATTGGAGGAAGCACGTGTAGTAATGTAACAGATTGATGTGAGCAAAGTGTAATAGAAAGGGTGAAGACAGTGCCTTGACTGGTTTCAACAAAATGAAAACGTGTAGCAAGAAAGGAGAAAAGGGAACTAGTAGAAATATGTAGTGAGAGTTTGCAGCAATTTTTATAAAGCTCTTACAGGAATATCATCTGTCTAATCAGTGTTCAGTTTCTCAAATAAACATGTTGACGCTTTCCTTTTTAACTTGTATGTATGAAATGCCTGTTTGTTTGTTTTTCTAATTAGAAAGTTTTTGTATGTGAGGAGCATTAAAGATGATGAGCTCTTACCTCCAATTCCCCACATGCTTTTTGTGAAGTTCTTTTACCATCAGAGGAGGAAAGATGTATTTTAGAACGTGCACAGGCAAGTCTGAGAAGTGTGGACAGTTGTAGATGAGTAACTTGAAAACCAGAGAACTTTTTTGCTAAAATCTAGAGTGGTGTTGACTGGGGAAAAAAATTCCCTGTACTTTTCTTGATAGATACAAAAAACCACTGTATGCAAAACTGTAAATATACACATATTAGTGTCCCACTATCACAGTTTACTATGTTTACTTGTCAACATACTACCATCAGAGCAATAAAAATGTCAAGCTATTAAAATTCACTGTAAATAAGTTGTTACTTCAGTAAGTCATGTTGTGTGATTCCTCTGCCATTTTCTTCTGCTCTTGCTGTTCTTATGATGCTGTAATGTTACTTGTATGGCTTACAGAAAGTGGTTTTGTTTAAGGTGTATGAAACTTTTTAAATCGTCTTCTTAACATTTTTATTCCGTTTACAAGTGAGCAGACACTTTTTTAATAGGACCTCACACTTTGAAACTTTTTTTCTTTTTTCTTTTTAAAATAAAATTCTGAGCTCTGTTTCTACATTTGACTGCATAGGCTGTTTAAAGAAGTTGGAAGTCAGACATGCGTAATCACTATGAGACATTTTTCTTTAATTAAATTTAAAGATGAAAACCTCTGAACAGTGCCGTGTGTTTCTGGAAACAAAGTGGTTGTGTCTCCCTGCAGCACTGTGTGAGCGCAATGGCAGTCAGTGGTTTCCTTTATGTGAGACATTTCTAACACAGAGCAGTGGGACGCCCAGCATGGTTTGGCTGGTTGAAAGGACAACTCTTGGAAAACTTAGCAAGGCTTTCCCAAAAACAAAGTTCTAGAATGAACATCACATTTAGTCTTCCATGTAACCCATCTCAGCTGGTGCGCAGACCCTCTTTAACCAGGAGTTTTTGTGGAATTTTGCTGCAGCATTACTTTTCATCACAGATGCTCTGTCATTACTGGAGTGCAGTGATGCAGAGTTCTGAGAGTGGAGAAGAGCAGAGGTTTTCCCATTTTATTGCAGTAGCACTGCAGAGGGAGCCTAACCTGAGCATGGATAATGTGTTCGTGAAATAAATCATTGGCTCGTGTAGTGCACTGTGACCAGAGGACAATGCAGCCTTTTGTGTGTGTTAGCAGGGAAACTTTGTAGCTGTGAAAGCAAGGCTTAAAATTAAAGCCTTCAGTTCATCCCTGGGGGGCAAACATCACATTCCCAAAATAGGCACGTGCAGTATTTTTTGTTGAAAACTGATGTCCTCAGTTGTTTTGGACAAGCACCTGGGTTGACGTGCTGTTTAGGCATGCAACTGCTGCTGATTATTATTTGAGAAACGTAGAGAATGTTCCTTTGTTATTATGCCACATATAGGAACGTTTGGCTGAGCTGCTATTAATCCATGAAGGGTCATGAGATGTGATTGCCTAGGCTACTGCAAAGGTCCATTTTAAGAACATTTGGGATTTTGCCCCTTATTCTACTCTTGGACTTTTCAGTAATGAAGCTTGCCAAAACATATGTGCCAACATATTGATAATTTTATACATCTTTTGTATCAGCATTGCTGTAAGTATTGTATCATATGCAGTTGAAGTGTTCCAGCTGAGGTTTTTTTTTTTAGTTTTTATAGATTTAAATTTTATAGATTTAAATCTTCATTTGCTAGACTAAATATTATCCTTCTCTCACAAGCAAATTTTTCTCTTTCGGATCACCCTGTTTGCTTTATGTTTGCTCGTACTGCGTTTGAATTAATTTTCCTTTAATACGGGTAAGTAGAAACAAGCTGGGATTGGTGATAAGGGCAGCTCATCTCTAGCATTACGCCAGGTACAACGACGCAGATGGTTCCCTCTTCGTTAGAATAACGCGACTCATTAAAGGATCCCATTTGTCTCCGTAATGGCCGTATTGTATTCCTGCTTCGTAGCCAATCCGCGTACAAATCCGCTCCTTTCTCTTTAGTCGCTTCCACCTCTCCATGGCAAAGAACGCTTCTCAGGCAGCTTCCCGCCTTCCTCAGCGCAGAGCGGGGCGAGCTCCGTTCCGGCCGCCGTTCCGTAGCGCTGCAGCGGGCGCTTTGCTCCGCACCGCCGGGAGCGGCTCACAGATCCCGCCCCGAAGGCGCTGCCGTCATTCACACGGAGATACGGCCGGCCCGCGCGGATGCCGCTGCGAAGGACTGAACCGTAACTGCGACTGCCTAAGGCGGCTCGCTTGCTTGTTCGCTCGCAGCCCGGGCGGCCGTCAGCCCCGACACTTGCCGCCCGCTCGCGTTCTTCCCGCCCGAGAGCAGAAATCGGCGCCGCCCCGCCCTCAGCTGGGCCCGGCGAGGCGCGAAGCCGCGGCTCGGCCGCTCCCCCGGCTCCCTCGGCGCATGCGCTCCCGCACCGGCGCATGCGTGCTGTCCGTCCCGCTGCGCGGCGCCTTTGTGGCGGCGGGAGCGG